GGCTAACACGTTCCTCCTGGGGCAGCCGGCAGGGCGGCAGAGCCTTTGTTCCAGCCCAGGACAGCAAGGGAAACAGCTGGTACCAAGACACAGAAGCAGGCCCCTGTGTACCCTTCTGTCCAGCTGGCCCGAGAGAGCTGTCTGCCAGTGCCCCACTTCTCAGCCCCGACTCAGCCTGGGCAGCTTTGGAGTCAACAGAAGGGGAGTGAGCTGCAGCCATTCCCCTCTCCTACCTGGGGAGATGGCAGGACACCCCCAGGGCCGTCAACTTCTGGCACAGACAGGGCACAGGTGGTGAACTTAGCTTGGGACCTGTCCCTGCACAGTTACACGGCAGCCCAAGCGAGGGCACATTTAGAACCCTAAAGGTTGAGTGACAGCAGTCATGTGGAACTGGAACGTTGTGGACGGATGGTTGCGAGGTGAAAGGGAGGAATGTGCAAGCGAGATACTAATTAAATTAGCTAAATTAGCTGCTGAGACAGAGCAGGGGACAAGGAGCAAGTGTCTGCTGGCGCAAGGAAGGTGCAATGATGGTGGGGCTGGTGTTGGAATATTGGAAACAAACACAAACACCGTCCTCCCATTGTTCATCGAGTTGCTTGAACGGGCCCAGGAACGTCTCCATTGTGAGACTTGTTACTGTGTTTGGCATACTGAATATGTCACGGGGAGCTTGCCAGGTTTTGCCGCGCAGGCAAGATACTCTCAGTAGCTTGCCGGGCTCTCCAAGAGGGGCGGAAGAATCGAACCCGGCTCGGCCGGGCTGGCTGCGTGCAAGGCAAATGTCCTACCGCTGTGCTATCACTCCAGCCCCGTTACAAATCATCATGGGCAGCTTTGTAAACCACGGCGTTTATATAAAGTGTACGGGGGAAATTGGAAAACATAAATAAATTAATTAAAAAAAAAGAACAAGTGTTTGTTCCTGGCAGGCTCCTGTTGAGGCACATGACGGGTGCCAGGGACGAATCTCTGGGCTCCAGCTCAAGCCTAGCCAGGAACTTCTAACGGAATATCCTGGAGACCTCCCCGAAACACAGGTGCTTGCTTTCCTCAGCTCTAAGAGCGGGACTGTCCTACCCAGGTCACAGAAGTTTTGTGAGGTTCAGTAAGAGGCTCTCCTTGTAGCCACAGTCAAGGCTGACCCCGTGGTCACTGCCAGGGTCTCTACAGTCGACATGGGGCTCCTGCTTACAGGGCTCACTGGTCGGTTAGCTACAGCAGCGATCTTGCAGAGCTTATTTGTTTTCCAGAGTAGAAATAGTAAGACTAAGTGCTTGGAGACAAGTCTGAGACAGTAAATTAGCTGCAAATGGCCCTTGGAATTACTGTGCTTTGAAGGCCTCCTTCATGTTTTGGGGCTATCCAGCAGTGCTCAGGGCTCACGCCTGGCTCTCTGCTCAGGGATCACTCATGGTAGGGTTTCAAGTGCCTGAATGGAAGGCCAGGGATTGAGCCTGGGTCGGTCGTGTATTGGCAAGTGTTCTAGCAACTCTACCGTTGCTCCTGCTGTGTGAAGCCCTTCTCGAAACAGACTATCTTTTACAGAAGATTGTCATTCACTGACTTATTCTTATCAGCATGGTTTAAAGACCCCTCACATGTCAGACCCAGGTGCCAAGAGCTGGGATACAGTGGTGAGTGGGGCAAGATGCTGCTTTAAGGAATTTCTCATGGAATGAAAGAGGCAGAAAATAAGTGAGAGAGTATCAAGACTCTCTCAGGAGTGATAAGAGTAAAAGAAGCTGAGATGAGGATGCGTAAGCCTAAGCAGACACAGAAGTTCATCAGTTAAAAATGTGGGGCTCGAGAAAGACCGTTTTAGGCAGAGTGGTCAGCAAGTGCAAAGGTCCTGAGGCAGGCATATAGTAAGCCAGGAGGATAAACAGCCAGTGTGGGGTCACAAAGTGGGCAGGAGACCCACCAAGGGACTGGCTGCAGCTCAGAGTGAATGCTGGGTTAGAACTGAGCTTACCAGTGGGCACTCTGCAGGTGGTGGGTGTGGTGCTGGTACAATGTCTGCATGAAATGATCACTAACAGTCTTGTAATTACAGTGCCTCGAATTTTTTTTTAAAGGGTGTATGAGGAGGTGACGCCAAGCCAGACTAGAGAAGATGGGCCGTGGTGAGAACGAGATCCGGATGCTGCTGTCCATAAGGCCTGGGTGATTGCCAGTGTGGGGGTGGGTTCAGAAGCAAGAAGACTCATGCAGAGATAAAACTAAAAACAGTGTGAAAGCACGGGGCTGGAGAAAAGTAAGTGCACGTCACGTACATTTTGGAGGCTAACACAGACGGAGTGCTTGATGTACCGGAGGTGGAACGTGGTAGAGAGGAGTTAAGGATGGACCTGATTTAGAGTCTCGGCTTGAATGAGATGGCTGCTGGTACCCATAATGGGCTAACAACTACTGAGCACTGGGCACAGCGAGGCACCCTTCTCAAGCAAGCCTGGCAGGTAGGCACTAACATTATTCCCACTTATAAGCAAGGACAGTGAGGCACAAAAACTCCCCCCAAAGCAAACAGTCCTGGGAAGCTGGGTGAAGAAAGCCCGAGTAACCTGAACCCAGTTTCTGCTCCTAAGCACTCAGCTACTCAGTCTTTTAGATGGCAGCCCCGGAGCACAGAGACTCTAACGTAACAGTCGGCCCAAGTCAGCTACAGAGTAGTCCCCAACACATGTTTGCCAAACAAGTGATGTGAAGATGCTTTGTGAACTGAGATGCTGTTTAAATATTCCCATTGCGGGCTGGAGTGATAGCACAGCAGGTAGGGCGTTTGTCTTGCACACGGCCAACGCGGGTTCGATTCCCAGCATCCCATATGGTCCCCGGAGCACCTCCAGGATTCAGTCCTGAGTACAGAGCCAGGAGTAACCCCTGTGCATCACCGGATGTGACTCAAAAAGAAAAAAGATATCCCCACTGTTGACCAATGCTTCCATTACTGGAGCTCCACTCATCTCGGATTTCTCTGAATGCCTTATAGATTTTACTGGGAAAAGAAAATGCCCAGAGACTTGCCCCATACCCTTACTCTAGAGCACAGTGCAGCCGGCCCTCCTGGGTTGGAACAGCTTCACAGGGTAGGCAATGCTAAGTAAAACCCCATGGTTGGTATCCTGTCCATTAAAGGTGGCCAGAAACTTTGAGAAATTTCTGGTTTATCCAAGGAATCACTTTTCTCTCCATTCTTTTTTTTTTTTTAATCTATTTCATTTTGTTGTCAGCAATTGAATCCCTTTGAGCATTTTACTCATACAGGTGGGAAAATGTCTCAATCATAATATGGGCAGCCTTGCAAACTTCCTTACTACACTGTTTCTGGGCACATCCCTGTCAAAAGCCAGAGGGGAGCTGTCCTGCCCGTGAGCCCAAGGCTTCTCCTTGGGTATCTAATTTGTTCTAAATACTTGGGTTTTCATTTGGGGGCCACACTCACAGGAATTACTCCTCAGGGATCATATGGGATGCCTGAGATGGAACCCAGGTCCACAACTTGTAGAGCAAACACCCTACCTGCTGTACTGTGACTCAGGCCCCTGCTCTATGCACTTGGAAGGAAGAACTGTGATCATCCTCCATCCAGCTGGAGCTCCGAGACTCTTAACAAAGAGATAAGCCCGTACCCTGGGAAACCTCTGGTCCAAGCCTGCATGGGGGACCTCGCCACGTGGGCTGTTAGGTGCTTTATGAACGCCATTGGCTGTGGCAGGGACAGAAAGCGCACATTTGGAGGGATGTGTCAAGTGGACTGCAGGGAAAGCACTCTCCCAGTCACTCCAGAACTCAAATCTGGATGTCATCATAGCCCTGCTCCAGGGTCACAGGGATGGGACCCCGGAGCGGTGTGTTCTCTCCCAGGCAAGGAAGGGTGGTGGGGGTGGGAGGCACGTGCCCTATTGGCAAGTCATGCACAAGCCCTCACCTCTCTCGGGCCAAGGACCGCTGGCCTCGCGTGCCCCTCCAACTTCCCAGGGTGGTGGTGGGGAGGGTCGGGGTGGTGGGTGACTTCGTCCTTCCCGCACCTGAGGAGCCCGCGCCAGGCCCGCCTAGGTGCCGCCCCACCTCGGTCTGCAGCGGCGGCGGCAGCGCCAGCCCCAGTCTCAGGCCAGGGACCGCACGGTAACCCTGGCCCACGCCGCCACCATCTTACATTTGGGGACCATTACATGCTCCCCGTGTCCAGCCAACACCCAGGGAGCGCCTTCCTCGGACACTCTCCGCACCCCAACTTCCCCCGCCTCCCTCTTCTACATTGCCAGCGCCCGGTTGCCAGTGGGCGTGGGAGACTGAGCGCAGGAGGTGGAGGTCCTGCCGGGATCGGCCGGGCGGGGAGATCCCCTCCCCTGGCAACCGCCTGGGGGGCTCGGGGAGGTGCCCGGACGCCGCGTCCCGCCCGGGTGGCCTGCAGGTCGCGGGCAGCGGCGGAGGGCCGGGGATAGGCGTGCCCGCGTGTGTGCGCGCGTGGGGCTCCGTGTGCCCGGTGCGTGCGCGCGCGCGCGCCTCTTCGAGATCCAGGGTGCAATTCCGCAAAGAAGGTCCAGGAGCTGGGGCATCGCGGGTGTGGACAGCGGCTTTGTGTCCAAACTGGCAGCGTAGAGGGAACGAGCACAGGGCGGGGGGGCTGCGGGGTCCTCCCGGGCGGGGATAACTCGAGGAGTTGGGGCTGCGCAAAGCGAGGGGCGACGGAATTCCTCACCCGGACGGGACACCCGGGCGCGGGGGAGCCCCCCGGTTAGGGACAGCGGCTCCGGCGGGGAGGGTCGGAGCATCCCGGCCCCAGGTGGGGCAACAGGGGGACATCCCCGGGATGCTCCCAGCCTCAGCACCGCGCGCCGACCGCGTGTCCCAGCCCCGTACCTCGCATGCAGAGGCCCCACCCGGAACGCGGACACCAGCGCCGAGCCTCGGAGCGTCCCGGGCACCCCACCCCACTCCACCCCGGGTGTGCGGGAGCCCCGGAGCTCGCGGTCCCTCCCCAGGACACTCACAAAATTGTCCCCGCATCCGTTGTCCGGGCACAGCACGTAGAAGGAGACGCCGGGGTCGGCGTAGAAATCCATCCTGCGCTCAGTCTCCTCGGTGGCGATGAGCTCGAAGGGCGTGTGCGAGCACCATTTCTCCGCAACGTCGGCCAGCTGCTGGAAATCCATCGCGGCCCGCCGCGCCCGCCCGCCCCGGCTCCCGGGAGCCTCCCGCCGGGGACTGTTTACACGCGCGGTGGAACGGGCGGGCGGCGGCAGGGTCGGCGCAGCGCCGCGCCCGGCTCCGCCCCGGCCCGCCCCGCCCCCTTACCGGCCGCCCCGGAGACTGGCGCGGCCGGGCCTGCTCGGGCTGCGGCGGGGCGGGGCCTCTGGTGGGAGTGGCCTTCATGTGGGCGGGGATAAGGCGGGGCTGCCATCGGCTCCTCCCCTCCCCGGTCCGCCCCACCCCCTTACTGGGAGACTGGCGCGGCCGGGCCCGCTAGGGCTGCGGCGGGGCGGGGCCTCTGGGGGCGTGGCCTCCGTGTGGGCGGGGGTCGGGGCGGGGCTTCCGTGGGCTCCTCCCCTCTTCGCAGACACCCGCTCGGAACACCCCCGCCGCCCCCAGCCGCCCTCCGTCCCCCCAGCCCTCGCGAGCAGGGCCGCCCCGGCCCGTGGCGTCAGGGGTCTCAGCCAATCGGAGAGCCCAAGCCCGCTGACGTCACGGCGTGGACGCAGAGAAGGTGATAGGCGGGCGCCTTGTTAATGTCCTGGAGAGCGGTGGGCTCCTAGAAAGCGACTGAAGTGCCTAGGGGCGGGGCGGGGGGCGCCTAGAGAACCGCGGAACGCTGGTGTCTACTCTAAGTCGAGCCATGGGGGAGCTGAGAAACGAAGGAGGAAGGGCGCTTCACTTGCTCAGAAGTCAGTGCTCTGTGCTCCGATGTGAAGCAATGGTTCCTCTACTTGCGTCTGTGGACACTGGCATAAACACTCATTTGAAGAAGAAGAGAGTTTTGTTTTGTTTGGGGGAGTTACGTTGACGTTGAACATGTCTTTCCCAAAAAATCAACAAAACGCACTTATGAGACTTAGTTTTAGTAGTATTCGGCGTTAGTTCATATTGCACAACCTGGAAAGACGGATGGATCCTTTGGCAGGGAGGGAAGGACAGTCTAAAGCAGCAGTCCGGGTCCCAATGTTGGGACCTAATTATGCACCTGTTGAACGCTCACCACCTGCTTAGGGACCGGACAGGCATTGCTGGACTGCAGAAAATGCGCTGCATGAGTCCTTGCCCGCAGGCATTGAATGACCACCAGCAGGACACGTGGAATAGCATTCATTCTACGAATACTCAGCTTTTATCTTGAATGTTTGTCTTCTGGACCAGGCGCGGCTGTGCTGGTCCTAAGGACTGAAATATGAGTAATACGTGACTCCACCCTGAAAGACCTGGCAGGTGGCCACCGGGAAAGGTTATGACAAGATGAACCCGTGGCACACACCCTCTACTTAACGGAATCATGCGATTCTGGAAACTTGTCAGGCTCGCACATTTCTAGTTTCCAACTCCGTTTTCCTTAATAAACAAAAGCTGCATTCCATAGTAAAGAAACGTTTCTTATTCCCTTGTAGAGAAGGTCCGCTCGGGGGGCCACCTTTGCGTTGATACTTACTGAACATTTTTCTTGGTGAATGTTGTCCTTATGAGGAAGGTAATGCTCCTATGTAACAATTTCCTGATTTTGTAAGTTCCCATAGTCTTTCAAATCAATTCAGCTCAGCAAACAATTACGGAATATTGTTCAGCTGCCAATGGAAGCTGCACAGGATCCAGTTAAGGTCGCACAGGGTTCAGTTTTTGCCATCAAGGAGTTTAGAGTATAAACAACCCAGATTCCAAGATGATCTTTGAGGTTCCTGACCCTACATACATGCACCTAATTATCCCATCAGACACATCAATCTAGGTATTTCTCTGAGAGGGGTTGTTATTTTAAAGTAAAGGCCCTCCCGTTGATCGTCGATTTGCTCAAGCGGGCCCAGTAACGTCTCCATTGGAGACTTTGTTGTTACTGTGTCTGGCATATCGAATACTCTCGGTAGCTTGCCGGGCTCTCCGAGAGGGGCGGAGGAATCGAACTCGGGTCGGCCATGTTGGCCGCTTGTAAGGCGAGCGCCCTACCCGCTGTGCTATCGCTCCAGCGATTTTAAGTTAATTAAAATAAGTTATTTTAATTAACTTATCAAATTAAGTGACCTGAAAAATAAGAATGTCCTCACTGTGTCTAATCTAATCTTGTAATCCTGTGATAGGAATTGGGCTCATTCATTTTTTTTTCCTAGGGAGGAGAGTGGTTGGACCACACCTGGCAGTGTGTTCAGAACTTTCTCCTGGCTCTGTGCTCAGGGATCACTCCTGGCAATCTTGGGGGATAATACGTAGTGCCAGGGATGGAACCTAGGTCTGCACCATGCAAGGCAAGTGCCCTACCTGCTGTACTATTGCTCTGGCCTACTTCCTTCCTCCTTCCCTCCCTTCCTCCTTCCCTCCCTCCCTCCCTCCTTCCCTCCCTCCCTCCCTCCTTCCTTCCTTCCTTTCCTTATTTTTCGCTTTCTTCTTTTCTTCATTGTCCCCCCTGTCCTCCTTCCTCCCTCCCCTTCTTCGTTCCCTCCTTCCTTCTTTCCCTTCCTACCCTCCTTCCTTCTCTTGTTCCTGCCTTCCTTTTTCACCATCCTCTTTCCCTCCCTCTTTCTTCCTTTCCTTCTTCCTTCTCCATTCCTCCCTCCCTACTCCTCCTTTCCTCTTTCCTTCCTACCCTCCTTTCTCCTTCCAATCTTTTTTAGTATGTGTGCTTCAAGATAAAGCAAGCTTTCATGCATTTTTTACTATGGCTTTTCTTTTTAAAGTATCACCTGCTTATCCAGGAAATTCCAAAGAGAAAGAAATTACTTAAATTTGTAATCAAAATATATAAAATGATTTTCTGTTCTTCTTTGAAAGAGGGACTCTTAAAAATCCACGTTTCATAATCCAAGTGATTTGTTCCAAATGAGGTATGATTACTCTGTACAAGAAGAGAGACATCCATGACATTGGCAACTATTGCCCGATCTGCATTGGCAGAACACTAGATGAAGGACAACCATGCAAGGAAGCCGGGTTCTGAAAAGGATTCAGCATATGCACAAGGTAACCAAGCTCATTGAGGTTTCTTGGGAGTTCAAGATGCCTCTCTGTCTAACATTCATTGATTTAAAGAAGGTTGAGATTGAAGCGATCATCGAAGACCTAGCCAAACAGGGTGTTCAAACTCAATACATCATGATTCTCCATGAGCTGTATTATGGATTCACTACCAGGATCTCACCATTCTACAAGGAAGCGATCATCCATGTCAAGAGAGGGGTTCGTCAGGGTGATACCATTTCACCGAAACTCTTCAGTGACACCCTCGAGAATGTCATGCAACGATTGGAATGGGAATGAATGGGAGTCAGCAACAACACCACCTTCGCTTCGCTGATGACATCATTCTAATAACACCAAACATTAGCCAAGCAGCACAAATGCTGGCCAACTTCAACCGTGAGAGTGGAAAGGTTGGATTGTAGCTGAATCTCACAAAGACAGTGTTCATGAGAAATGGACTCGTTCCTGATTTTCATTTGCTCTCAATGGAACGAACATCTTCAAATGTAGCAGTTATGTGTACCTAGGTCGAGAACTCAACATGATGAACGACCTGGCACCTGAGTTGTGCAGGAGGAAGAGAGCAGCATGGAATGCCTTCAAGAGCATCAAAGAAACAGCTAAGAGAATGAAGAACCTCCGACTCCGGGCACATCTCTTTGATTCCACTGTTCTTCCTGCATTAACATATGCCTCAGAGACATGGGCCCTATGAAAACAGGATGAGAACGCTATTCGGGTCTCCCAAAGAGGAATTGAAAGAGCTATGCTTGGAGTATCACACTTCACTCAAGTGATAGAAGGAATCTGGAGTTCTGACCTCCGTCAGCAATCAAGAATCAGGGACACTGTCTCGTTTGCCAAGGCATCAAAAATCAGATGGGCTGGACACATAATGCGATTTGGAGATAACCGCTGGACTAGAGCTATTACCGACTGGATTCCATGTTATGTCAAAAGATCTCGTGGCTGCCCACCTACGAGATGGTCAGACTTCTTCATCAAGACCATGAACAAATGGTTTGAGGCTCTTCGTGTTCCTGGAGCGAGCAGATGCCATTGGGCTACACTAGCACGTGACAGGGACAAATCGAGACGTTACTGGTGCCCACTTGAGCAAATCAATGAGTAATGGTATGTCAAATGATCAAGTGAATTATAAAGTCTTGTTCAACAAGCACTTTTTTGTCAGAAGATGAAAAATTCTCATGACAAAAAGACAGACTTCTGGCTATAAAACAATTGACCTATTAATTAAATACAGTGGTTTTCCTAGAAATGCATTAACTGCAAGAACAGAAGATTGTAGTTTTGGGTTAATTCCCACATCTGTGATTTTTTAAATTAATTTTTGAAGTATTAATTTTTACAGTTATGTCATATGTTAACAATAGTATTTATGTTTACATTTTTGGTGTACAGTTAGTTAATCACACCTCACTATCACTCAAGTACCCACAACCCTTCACCAATGTGTCCATGTTACTTCCCATCTCCCTCTCCATTCCCTCCCCCTCCCCTACTCCCCTCCTTGCTCAATATACTCAGTTCTGTAACCCAGGGCCAGGGCTTCTATCTTATCTTCTTGTCCCTTTCTTTGTTTTGTCTTCCTATATATATGCCAGAGATGAGTGACATGTACCTGTAATTCAGATGAAGACAAATGATACACAGATAAAGACAAATATCAGTCAGCTGGTATTTGTCTTCTCCCTCTGACTTATTTTGCTTAACATGATGCCCTTCTTTTCCATCCAAGTCACTGCATGATCTCATCATTTGTTATGACTCCGTAATATTCCATTCAGTGACTGTATATATATATATATACACATATATGTGTATACACATATAATTATATAACACATATATGTTAAATGACATATGCATTATATGATTATATCACTGTATTACTGTCATCCCGTTGTTCATCGAGCGGGCGCCAGTAACGTCTCTATTCGTCCCAGCCCTGAGATTTTAGCAGCCTCTCCTTACTCGTCTTTCCCAATGATTGGAGGCTCTTTCAGGGTCAGGGGAATGAGCCCTATCGTTACTGATTTGGGCATATCGAATACACTATGGGTAGCTTGCCAGACTCTGCCCAGGTGAGCAGGATACTCTCAGTAGCTTCCCCAGCTCTCCGATATATATACATTATATATATATGGATATATATACATATATAATGTCTGAA